TAGCAAAAAAAAAAAAAGATAATTAGAGAAATTTGAAGATCAACAGGGTAGTTCATATTAAGGAACTGTGTTACGTTTCTAGGTGTGATAGTGGTAGTGAGGTTACATTTATAAAAAGAGAATTCCTATTTTTTAGAAACGCTAAAATATTTGTGGATGAAATAACTACTGTCTTGTCCCCACCTATCCCTTGAAGTATCATTTTTCTGTCCCCTATCCTTACAACCAATTCCTCCCCAAGTTATCTATCCTCCCTCTCTCCAGTTCTTTTCTTACTATTCTTTTTTGAACCCATTCCAATCCGGCTTTCATCGGCACTACTCCAGTGTTATAAGCAATGGTCAATTATAGTCCATCAGCAATTGAAATGGCTGCTCTTCCTTGAACCTCCCCCCACCCCCAACAACTCAAATTGGATTCTTTTCCTGATTTCCTCTTATTTCAGCACCTTAGATATCTTTTTCAAATTTCTGTCTACAATCAGTAGATAATCTGATGGCATTAAATACTCATTACATGCTGATGTCTCCCAAATTTCCATCTCCCACCTGGACCTTTCTTCTGAATTCCAGACTCCTATGTATCTTTTAAAAAAAATTTGTTTGTTTTTGAGAGGGTTTTACTTTGTTGCCTAGGAGTGAGGGCAGTGGCATGATCATAGCTCATTGCAACCTCAAAGTCTTGGGCTCAAGCAATCCTCCTGCCTCAGTCTCCAGAGTAGCTGGGACTGCACGTGTGCACCACCATGCCCGGCTAATTTTTCGTAGAGTTAGGGTCTTGCTATGTTGTTTAGGCTTGTCTTGAACTCCTGACCTCAAGCAATCCTCCTGCCTCAGCCTCCCAAAGTGCTAGGATTACAGGTATGAGCCACCATGCCTGGCCAAGACTCCTCTGTATCTAACTGCCTTCTTGATATTTCCACGTGGCAATCTAATTGGCATCTCAAACTTAACAGCGCCAAAATGGAATTTCCTTCTCCTATTCCCAACCTCCTCTCTTCCATCTTTCCCATTTTGCTAAATGGCAACTCCATTTTTCAAATTGTTCAGGTCAAAAATCTTAGTCACCTTGGACTCCCTTAATTTTTTTACACCCTATATAAATTAAATTATCATCAAATCCTGTATGCCATCCTGTCTGAATATACTGCTTGTACCTTTCCCAAGCCACCGTTACGTCTCACCTGGAGTACTGCAATAGCTTCCTAAGTGGTTCCCTTTGCTCCCCAAGAATCTATGGTCAAAACAGAAGCCAAAGTGATTCTTTAAAAAAAAGTAAAATTATGTTACTTCTCTGCTCAAAACCTTCAATGGCTTCCCATCTCACTCAGTAAAAGCCAAAATCCTTACAATGGCCTGTTAGTCCCTACCTAATTTAGTATCCTCTTACCGCTCTGACCTCAATTCCTTTTACCCAGCTATCCTCTGCTTCTGTCACTCTGGCCTCCTTTCTGTTTTTATGTAGTAGGCATCCTCCTACCCCAGAACGATTTCTGCACTTGCTATTCTACCTGGAATCTCCCCTCCCCCCAACAAAGCATATTTCTTATTCCCTCCTCTCCTTCGGATCTTTGCATATTTACATTCTCAGCAGGGTCCCTCTGGCATAAACAAAAATGTCATTTCCTACCCTCAGCATTCCCTACTTCACCCTCACTGCTTAATTTTTTCCTGCAACACTTAACCTGTCATAGTATATATTTTACTTATTTATTTTTTTAATCTCCTCTATGAGAACAGGAATTTTTTTCCTCCTTTGCTAAGTGTTTGGCACATAGTTGGTACACAATATTTTTGAGTGTATGAATGCTATTTATAATGCACTCATATTCTCTCCTTCCTTGTTTAACTGGCACTAGCTTCACGGGAGTTTGGGCATGCACCCTGAGGAAGATGAGGCTGACTAAATAGAAATCCTGTCCACTCAGACTATGGTATCTATTTCTCTAAGGAATACCAAAGCAGAGTGGGAATTCTGGAGGTTCAGGTTCCAGTCGAAGCTTTGGTACCACAGGCATGTGACACCAGGCAAATATTTTCCTCTCTGGTTTTCAATTTCCTCCTCTGCCAAAAGGAGATTATTTCCTTAAAAGATCTCACAGTATTTTTGAGAATATAAAATGAAAGATGAAGTGTTGGGTAGGGAAGGGTGTGTATTATTAATTTTTCTATTACATACAAAGATATACTCACCTAATACTTACTATTTGTTAAAGGCAATGAACAGAACACCACCAAATCTCTGGTTCTTTTAGGGACCTTGGAAGATGCAATTCTGCTGTGTTGTGCCCTTATACACACTAGAAATGTGACAGTGAAAGCTCTTGATGTCAGCCTATTCCTTCTCCTGAGAAAAGTCACACCTATACGAGAATTTTTTTCTTTCAGTAGCCTTGTCCGCATCAGTGAATGTCAGTGCCTTTGGGTGCCTAGCTTCCATGGCGGTTTTCTTTCCTAATCATTTGTATGTACATGCGGTTGGTGAGCCTCCTCTCTGCCCATCTGGAATCCAGAACCTTGATTTTCTCACCTTAAAATGGAGTAAATAATAACTGGCTCATATCTATTTTGATGGACTCAGTGACCTATCGATAAGTTACATAAAGCAGTAATGCAATGCCCCGCATATCTAGAGGCTGCCCTAAATGCTTTAGTATATACTCAGCTTCCATTACCAGCGTCTACCTATCAGGCTATCTATTTATTTATTTAGAGACAGAGTCTTGCTCTGTTGCTGGCGTTAGAGTGCCATGGCATCAGCCTAGTTCACAGCAACCTCAAACTCCTGGGCTCAAGCGATCCTCCTGCCTCAGCCTCCCCAGTAGCCAGGACTACAGGCACCACACCCAGCTAATTTTTTCTATTTTTAGTAGAGATGGGGTCTCACTCTTGGTCAGGCTGGTCTCGAACTCCTGAGCTCAAGTGATCCTCCCACCTAGGCCTCCCAGAGTGCTAGGATTACAGGCATGAACCACTGCACCTGGTTCCCAGAGTCACTTTCTAAAACAGTTCTTTCACCATGTCCACCTCACCCAAGTCAAGGACCCGAAACAGTATGTATCAAGTATGGATTTCTCTATTTGGTTTCAAAATCTTCCCCATTCTACTAAAGGCAGGGTCTTTAAGAAATATTTTGTATGCTCATGTTCATATTAGCATTATTCACAATAGCCAAAAGGTGGAAGTAACCCAGGTGGTATATGTATACAATGGAATATTATTCAGCCTTACGAAGGAAGGAAATTCAGACACATACTACAAAATGGATAAACCTTGAGGACATTATGCTATGTGAAACAAGCCAGACACAAAAGGACAAATACTGTATGATTCTTTTTATATTACGTACCTAGACAAATTCACAGAGACAGAAAGTAGAATGGAGGTTACCAGGGCTAGAGGGAAAGGGGGAATGAGGAATCGTTGTTTAATGGGTACAGAGCACGTTTTGCAAGATGAAAAGAATTCTGGAGATTGGCTGTACAATGTAAATGTATTTAACACTAATGAAGTATACACTCACAAATGGTTAAGATGGTAAATTTTATGTTATGCATATAAGAAAATAAAAAACAATCTTTTCCATCTTACTTATCAAAACTTCCTTTCCACTCTTCCCTTGTTATTTTTTCCCCTCACTTCAGTTACACTGTTCTCTTCATAGTACTCCTCCGGTATCTCTCTTGAGCCTTTGCCCCATGGTGTTTCTTCTCTGTAATGCTTTCATCATCATCCATCCATTTTCAAAAGGTTACTTGTGCTTTCGTCCCAAAGATGTCACCTTTTAGATCCAATCAAGAGTTACATGCTCCAAGTGATCTTTACTCTTTTAAACCACAGTCCTCTCCCTTTTCTACACTACGCAGAAGGGCCTACGCGTGGCTTTATTGCTTTAGCGTAGCCTTTCCAACCGTAACTCCTAAGGCCCTGAGGACCGGGGACATGATCTCACAGTTCTGCACCCTTCTCCCAACACATACACACCCACTAGAACAGAGCTCGGCACACAAGAGCTCCAGTGAAAACTCAATGCACTGGACAGTGCATAATCTCAACACAATGTCAAATTACCGGCGAGCGTGGAGGCTTGACGAAGCAAAACCGTGGGTCCTTAAGGATCCTTGAAGACAACCCTGTAATTTGCATACCTCTCTACCGTCCAAAACACTTTCCCACATGTCATCCAAAGGTTAACGCACGCGAGGGAGGGCGGTAGCAGCGTTATTTGTGGAGGCGCTCAAGTAAAAAAGGGACTCCTGCTGGCCGACTCAAGGGTCCCCGAGGCATGCACCGAGCCGTCTCTTTTCCTAAAAGGGCAAAGAACCGTTAAAAAGTTGTGCTTCCGGCACAAGCGTCCGCGCCAGCTCGGGAAAGGAAGGAGAGCGGACGCATAGCCCCGCTACGGGCAGTCGCAGGGCACAATTTCCTTCACCGAAATCACCCGATGGGCGGGCACTCGTAACCCAGAAGTGAAAGGCCGCTTCCTTCAGGTATTAGATTCCCCCGCCCCCATCAAAGGAAGTTTCAGCCAGACGACTTTTATCCAGGCTTTCCAGACTCCTCTTTATTTTTATTTTATTTATTTTTTTAGATTCCTCCTTAGCTCCTATTACACTCCCTGCTTTCTGGTGCCTTGTTGTGACCGCTTAGATCCGACCCTCCTTGTCTAGCCCAAGTTTTGCTGCAACTCCCTAAGGGTCCTAACTACATTCTGTCCACCTTTTTCTTAAAGAACCTTCACCCTACGGGTCCCCATCAGGGTCAACTAACGTTCTCAGTGGGAGCAAAAGCTTTTAGGACTTTCACCTCTCGAAGCCCGAGGCAGCCAGGCCGGCGCCTGCGCGGGGCGTTACCATAGAGAGGCAGCCTCCTCTCTGGTCTCGGTTTACACTCTCTATGGTGCGGCCGGGTCGGTGGCGGTAAGGAGAAAAAGGGAGACCGCACTGCGCAGGCGCTCTTGGCTCTCGCTGGCTCGCGCGCGCTCTCTCTTGCTCTTTTTTTTTTTTTTTTTTTTAATCCTCGCACCAAGTGCTTAACCTCATTGGGGTGGAGGAGAAGGCGGCGGCTGTCTAGTCCGCAGCGGCAACAGTAGCGAATGATGGGGCTGTAAGTATCCGGTTAGGGCGAGGAGCTTCAGACCCGAGCCCTCCAGAGGCCCCTGGCCCCTCCCCAGCCCGATCTGAGTGGGGGCGATGTCCAGCTCTGTCATCGGCTCTTGGGTGCACTTTGGGGGAGGGGGCGGCCCTTAGGTGGGAGCGGGGCGAGGAGCGGGATGCGAGGGTTGTTTATCCAGCCAGTTGGGCGCTGATCCCAGGCTGCTTTGCAGAGGGAATGGGGGCGGCTGCGGGGTCAGCTGGGCTTTGTGTGCCCCTCTCTCTGTCCCTCTCCCAGACCGCACCCCGGGCCCCCTTCCTAATCCGAGGCTCCTCGGCCGGGTGGGAGAAGCCGGCAAAGCCCGGGTCGCGTTTGAAAGGAGCCGGGGATTGCTAGGGGAGGGGGCGAGGAAGAGAAACCCTTAACAACTAGTCATCGGCGAGTGATGGGTGTGGAGAAAGATCTAGAGGGAAGGGGTGTTGGGGAAGCGGGCAGCCGGGGCTCCTAGCCCGGCCAGACAAAAGCTGAGCAAGCGGCGCCGAGCGAAGCAGCCGGCCTGGTGGGATGCGGAGGGTCCCCTTGGTCCCCGGGGCCCTCAGAGAGCTTCTTTTCGAAGCTGGGAAAGCGAACAAGTGCTGAGTTAAGCCTGTGCAGCCTTCTCAACTTGCCTTTGTTGTTCTTTGGTATTGGCAGAGACGCTCTGACGAAGATGAGTGTGTGATCTTGCACGTTAGCCTAGCTAGGTACAATGGAGCTAATTGAATTTTGCTTTCCATTTTCTGAGCTGCTGCGATGAGTATGGGGTTTTCCAAAGTCTAACTTATTACATAATATTTTTAAAATAATTGTGTTTATATCTAAAATTAAAAAAATTAGGTGGAGCCGTAAAGCACGTTGTGTTGCATCTTGGTGAGTTTCTGTGTAGTGGGGTTCGTACATTTACTGACCATTCTGTAGAACTCGTGAGCTCTTTAAACACGATACTTTAATTTGTAGATGTGGCAGTGAGAGCTTCGGATTCTCTAGTCCTTTGGGAGGCAGTGATGCAGAAGAGTCAAAAGCGAGAAATAGTTTCTTGCTGCCATATACCCTGCTCCATATTTGGGTGCCACAGTCCGGTATCATTTCAGGCTTTGGAAATTGTTGTTTTTATTACTGTTATTATTCGTGACGTTCACTGAATCACTGAGCTCTTGGTGTGAGGAATCATGGGCAGTAGGCTCCATTTGCTCATCAAGGGAATGGGAGAACGTAACATTGATGCAGAGACCATATAGATAAGAAAAATAGCACAATGCCCCAGAGTACTGAATATTATTTATGTTCTGCGTTTGCTAAGAAAGATTTAAATTTTGATGAGCTGTTTGTTTATCCACAAACAGCTTGCAATCCTTGTAAAATTGTGTAATTGCACCTTTTTAGCAGTTATTACTCAAATCTCAGTTTCTATAATTTATTGTTTATTATAGGCTAACATGTAACATTGTTTTAGAATTTTAAAGTTTTAATTTTTATTGAGGAGTTTTCAGCCTTAGCTTTTAATTCTCCCAACTAAGGTTAAACAAAGTCAGAACTCCTTTGAAGAGACTTTGTTGGTGGTGGAGGTGTCAAATATTGTATCTCTATGTAACAATTAAAGTGGGGAATACCAAAAAGGCTTTTGCCAAGTTTATATCGAAAATTTGTGTTAGAACTGAAAATCCAGATGTCCTAGTATGTCAGGCTTTTGAATTAACCCACAAATTCAACTTTATTTATGCAAAAGAGGTAAGCATTTTTTGTACCGATAGCAAGCAAAAATCTGAAGCTTGATTTGTTATGCTTCTGTTAACTAGTGCGATAGAATCTCTTAAGCGTAGTTCAGATGATGAGACCTCGCTTTTTATAGAACAAGATTTCAGATCCTTAAAATAGTTTGATAGGGATGTTGAGAAATGATTGGCCAGAACATTAAGTTTATTGTTCAAGTGTATTATATTTTGTTCACTGGTTTTGGATTTAGGTTTTTTGCTTCAGTCTTGTTAATTCTGTTTTCTTAGGTAGTTTAGTGTCAGTGTCATGATTCGTAAGTTGAGTGAGGTAGTTTCTTGGACCTGAGAATTAAATTTATTGTTTGAGATGCTATTTATTCTTAACAATCTTCTTAAATCATAGTTTTTAGATTATGGTACTTTTTATTTTGTAGCACAATTGGCAAACATTATAACTATTTAAGGGATTATAAATATTAGGCTCAGGGCTGAGTTGTTAAAACTGCCAGTGTTGATAACTGCAAGTCTAGTTGTCTAATTAAATAGTGGAAATAGTAGACAGTAGTAAAACATAAATGTTTAAAAAGAGAATCACTTACAAGATTTCCTAGAAAATAAGAGAATGATCTATTAGTCTTAAAAACTAAACAAAGGAGAAATCATTGAGGATACAGTTTTTGGTTTGTAAAATGTCATCATTATAACTTTTTTTTACCCAATGTTAGCAGGCCATCATCGACAAAGAATATGTATATGTGTTTGACTAAATGACCTCTAAAGTACCAAAATTTTACTGATTGTTTCTAGCTGGTTCTTCACCACCCCAGGACTTTCCTGGCCCCTTAATGTTCAGCCATTACTATCATACTGAATGATTTTCCTCCCCAAATTCTTACAGCAGTCCACACCCACCTTCCCCCATGAATCCCTAAAGCTCTGTCTCAAATGTGCTCAAATGGTGGCATTTTTTCCATAACACCTTTGTTAACTTCTGTCTTGTTTTCCTGCCTGGAAGTCTCCTTGCAGTTGCCTATTGTATCCATCACCTTCCTCCTTGCTCACATTTTCTCCTGTGCATTTACTCTTCTCTAGATCCTTCAGGGCCCAGGGAGTCTGTAGAACACATTGTGGTGTTTTCTCTTGCTTGGTAGCTTATATAACTAGTGGAAACTGTAGAATGTATGAAAGAATAAACAAATGTATCATAATTTAGACTAACAGAATTTGAGCCTTGAAGGATCTCTTAGAGCTGAACATTCTTCCTTATGTCTGCTACATTCCGGTCAGCAGCCTCAAACAAAGCAGGCAGGCTTCTCTGTTCCTGGACAGGTCACTGTTGTCAGAAATGTTTTTAGACGGTACCAAAATCTACCTCTCCCCTTTTACCTTTTGACCTTACTTGTAACTCCTGAAGCAACATTAATTAAGTCTGTTTCTTCTCCACATAATAGCTCTTCGTATTTCCCAGGACGCTCATCAGGCCTTCTCTAGATTTATTGATTAATTTATTTACTAGATCCTCTCTTGAGTTAGGTACCAGGTATCAAGAGGGTATGGTTGAATACGTACATGGCCCTTGTACTTCAGGGGCTCAGAGTCTAGTGGGAAGACAACCATGGGTTGTTGGCCAGTTATACTGAAAGTGTGCAAACAGCCCTGAATCCTTAGTGCTGTCCTGGTTTAGTATGGGCTCACTATGCTTTCTTTAGACAACTCTGTATTTTTAGTGTCCTTTAAGTGCAATGTCTGAACTAAAACAGAAGACTTTGATAAGACCTCACCGGAGTATACAGCTGTGCCACTTACTACTCCTGTGACTTTGGACCAATTAAATAATCTTTATTTTAGCGTCTTCATCTATAAAATGAGGGTGAGAGTGAGGGGAGGGTCATGTTGGTAGTAGCACCTACCTACAGGGTTGTTGTAAGGATTAAATGACATAATACATATAAAGTGCTAAGGACAGTGACTGGCATATATTAAGTGGGTAATAGATGGTAGGAGTTAATATTAATAACAGTGTAGTAGTAGTTGCAGTAATCAAGTCACCAGAATCATTTTGGGAACTTGTTAAAATACTCTCTTCCATCCAGAGAATTTGATTAGTTAAGTCCGTATGGGACTTGGGCAGCCACACTTTTAACAGTTCCCGGATGATTCTTAGATACCTCAAAGTTTGAGAACTCTACACTCTATATTAATGCTGTCAGTGATTGCATTAGGTTTTACAAATTTAAATTTTAAAAATTCCCTAAGAAATAGGTGAATAGATCCTCCTAAAAGATTCGAACAATGCAGATAAAAGGAAAGACATGGCCCCCAAGGAATGACCCCCAATCTCACAACCCTTTGGAAAAATACTTACCAGTTTGGAATGTATCCTACACACTGTGTTACCCTTTTTTATCTAGATATATAAATGAATGTCTTCATAATAGTAGTAGATTTAAAAGATAAAAATGATTTTCAAAGCCCTTTTACAGTCATAATCTTCTTTGCTCCCTTCCAAGGTCCTGTGAGGTGGGTAGGGAAGATAGCATCATGATCTTGTCAATTTGCAGATGAGAAACCAAGGCCTGCAATTGAAATCCAGTCCTGATTGAACTAGAATGAGAACTGGGTCTTCTGTCTCTCAGCCTAATGTTCTTTTCATGTGAACCCCACTGTCTTCTCGCTACGTGATTTTGTTGGCTTATATTGAAGTTGTGGTTGATGAAGTCTTCTGATCTTTTTGCCATGTGAATAACTGCCAAATCAGATTTTCTCCTTTCCTTTAGTGCATATATACTGCTTTTAAAAAATGTAAATTCAAAGTTTTATGTCTCTATTAGGATTCATCTTTTGGGGAAAGAAATCTAGAACTGGCCTTCTGGCGATCTGATAGCATGACACATTTGGGTGAGTCTGTCTTGGTTCAGGATAGCCGAGGTCAATGTATGCACTTTCCACCTGTCTCTCTGACTGCTGTGCAATTGACTTTCCAGGCTATTTATTTATAAATATTTAT